ANGTCATAGATTAATCATAAATAGTGGTAGCCACTAGTGGCAAAGCTCAGAGGGGTCAATCAACAAGGTGGTTGATATCTGGGCTGCAAGTCTTCACAAACACGATGAAGCCCCCCCTTGGAAGAATACCGAAGAGCTTTATGTGACGATCGATTCTATTTCAGAGGGAGCTAGTCAATGGAAGGTCTATGAAGTCCGCTATGGAGGTCCACTCCCTGCCACTGGCACACCACCGAAGTGGATGACCGAGACATACGAGCTTTGTACTAGTGTTGCCGCGGCTCCGGCTCAAAGTCGGCTGAAGCCAGGAGCTGAGCCGAGTTTAGCCGAAGCCCAGCCAGAACTGCCGAGTGATGACTCCCACAGCTCGGCTAATTCCAGCTCCGGCTAAGAAGCCGGCTGGAGCTGGCTAAGCCGGTCATAAATAGTGATCGTTTAAGTTCATTCGTTCAGTCATCTCAAGACTCATGGGTCTTGCAATAAGGTCAATAGTATACGCGTTGCCATCAAGATATGCATAAAATACACAAGAAAAGTCTCTCTAAGGTATTTAAATTTTATCTAAGGTATTTCATCGCCGGGTGTCTCAGGTCACTACCAGTAGATTAGTGGCAATTTTGACATCAACCTTTCTCAAAAGCGTTGTTGATATCAAAACCGAGCAGCCACAGACCTCTTCACCAAACTCCTTAATCCTAAACTGTAACCCCCTATGTGGGCCATCAAACGCAGTAACAACTTGGCCTTTGCACTCCAGCCGTTCAGGTATTAAGTATGGAAATGGCACTTCAACCACTTTGTAACCGAGTTGAACCTTGAACGCATCTCCGACCACTCCCTTGAACTCCCTGCACTTATCTTCGTGCTGGCCGTTATGGAAATTAGGGTTGGTATTGATGAGATGAAGGCTCAGTCTCATGTTGGTGAAGCAGCCATCTTTGAGCCAATACGGAGAAGAGGCTGCCACAATTGCGTCAGTATCTATTGACTTTGAATCAGAATCAGAAACATAATTACCATCATCACCATGGCGGGGGGTTTGTGAGCTTGGGTTCCAAGCTGGGGTCATCGGGATATCTTCCGAGTTAGGAAGCGGAGTAGATGGCCCTGCAATGGCCGGAGTCTGCAGAAGGAAAGCAGCGGGATATGTGACTGAGGGTTGCAGATCCGGCAAGGGGTAACCAGGGAACAAAAAGCCTGCCAGAGTACCAGGCGGAGGCGCTGGTTCAAGTGGGTAAGTAAAATCGGTGAGAAC